TAATCTTTTCTAGACTACATTTGTAATACATATATAACTTTGTTTGTTAGGCTTTCAAAATTAACCCCACTTTCAAGGCAAAGATTAAATAAATAAGACCACTATGGTGTTTCTGTTTTGACATTTTTAGTACAGTGAAATTCAGCAGATAGCCTGTATTGTAAATAGCCCATTAAAATTATACTTAAATCAATGTTATATAATATTTTCGCAAAGAAGAAACTTTCAATGGCAAAAAAAGGTTTCTTTTTTCCTTACTAGAGTTTATTTCAAAAGGTGACTAAGTAGAAGTTTTAATTTGAATTGTGAGAGCTCTAAAATTGGAATAATGTCTTTTTCAGCTGAGTTTCTCAGGTGAATGTTGACCTGTTGTTTTAATATACATAGATAGAACCTATAGAGTAAAACAAGCAAACCAAAAACTAATAATAAAGTTAGGACTCTAGTGGGAAAAGCTTTACAAAAAAGCTTTATAATCCTCATTTCTCACTAAATACTTTTTAAAGGCGTTCTTGAACAGATGGGTTCTCTTATAGAAGGTTTAAAGCAACACTGTGCTCAGCCTTTCACACGTATTCATTATACCACTTATTCTTCTAAAGCTAGGAGGCAGGCATTACCTTGTTCATCCTGGCTTTAGCTATTTGCCAGAATCTTCCACAGATTTAGATGGTGATATTAGGTTAGGCTCTAAACTAAACTTTAGAGTCTTTAGATATTTCCCGCCAGCAAATTTTCAAAAGCCAAGAAAGTTCAAGCGTTTAATTAAAGATGGTTGGTCCTTTTAGCTGCACCACAGAGCATTCTCCTTCAGAGTAAATGGTAACGTCAGGAAATCCTGAGATGTTCTATCTAAATTCTACTCCTCTGAAGTGGTGAAAGATTAAAGTTCAGCTTCAAAGTTATTTTTCATTGAGAATTGGGTAGACTCCAGTTTGTGCCAGATTTTCTTGGCCAGACTCTCTCATCTCTCTGGGTGGGGCCCAGGGCTCTCTGTGTGGCTGGTGGAAACTTGCCCACGGAAGCCCCTCAAATGGAGCGATGGAGAATGTGGGGTGGGGAGCCTTTGACGTCCGTCTTCAAGCCATTGACCATTCAGTGGTTTCATAGGCTTTGTATCAAAAAGACTGTGAATATGCTATTGGCCAGATGTGGAACTGTCACAGCACGGGAGACCAGAAAAATGAAAATGTCCTATTTCATAGGTCCTGCAGGTTTTCAACTACTGTTGGTGTTATCTGCCTCTTATGTAGCTATCGTGGAATTAAGGAGAGACCTGAATCAGATCCGTTTAGCATGTTAGGTTTGTCACACATTGGCTCTGTGTTACTTAAATTCTCTGTGCTTTCTTCATCTATAAATTGGGGTTAATAATAGTATTATTAGCCCAAAGGGCTAACATGAAGATTAAATGAGATTATAAATGTAAAATGCAGAAGAGTGCCTGGAAAATAGGAAATACTCAATAAATGTTAAATAGAACTATGATTGAATTATTATTAATGATACAGCCAAGAAAGTCAGGAGACTTTAATTCTTGATATACACAAAAATTATTTGGCTAAAACAAGCTTTTTACACATCATTTAGGTGTATTCAATTAGATGCAGAATCAATGTAGATCTTCTCAATGCAATGGTCAAATTGAACTTAAAAATAAAGAAATTAGTAAATTTACATGCCATGTAAAAATGTAGCTTTAGCAGGTAATCTTGTATATCTGAATAGTTTTTCTGGTTTCAGGACACATATAAACACAGAAATAGTCTGTGAATTCATTTTAACATTAAAAATCAGAAAGCGCATATGCTGCTATATCAACATGGCAGATATTTTGGAATATCATAAAAATTAAATCTAAAATTAAAAAACCACAAAATATGATTTTACTGAATACAGACTACAAAAGAAGTTCATCTTTTACAGTCTGAATTTCTAACTTCCTGGCTACTTTTTGACTCACACGATTAAGAAATGGCTAAGTCAACATTTAATAAATAAAGTTGTAAACAACTTACAATTAATTTTTTCTTATTTTTATCAGCAAAGAGAATTAAGAACACACACATACACAATCTTCTCAAATTAAAACCTGTTTGGATAGTGTCCTTTCAGATCATAACTGTAGCAAATGTTTTATCTAAATAAGTAATTTTCTACAATTAGTGTGTTACACAATTATGAACCTTCATCAAAACTTACATTGTTCAAGAGTAAGTGATTTTTCTTTTCAAGAAGTGGCTCATGAATGTTTTCTTAAGTAAATTATAAAGATAAATCAGCAGTAATATCTTAAATAAATATCTTCTAACATTTTCCCTTGATTTCCATGCCCAAAGTACACAATTTATTTCAAGAGGATTATTTCTGCTGACAGGGAAGTTAGAAAAAATCACTCAGCTGAAGGTTTCCTGATAATCACAGAATCTTTGAAAGCTTGGCCCTGGACATCACTAGGTGACAGTCTAACCTCAGGGTCCCCTCACTGAAAGGAAACCTGGATGAGAACCAAGTCTCCTCATCACTGGAGGGCATGCCTGCCAGCACAAACCATTTGGGGAGAGGGAAATCTAAATACAAGTAGAAATTGCCACTGACAAATTTCAGGAAATAGCGGTCAGAGGGAGTCACTAAGGTTGTCAAATCTTGGGTTTTTTGATTTTATAGGCAAGATGAAAAAGTAGGAACTATCCTTTAGCCCCTTATGAAATAGAAATATTTTCTAATCCAACTAATGGAAAAACACCATGCTTCAAAAGTTTCCAGAGAGTAATGATGAAAACTATGATTTTGCTAGGTTTAAAAAAAACTTTTACATATAGAAAAGAGTACAAATCATAAATATACAGCTTGATTATCTTTTTCTCTTTGAAACAAAATTGTAGTAAGGTATACATAATTTATCGTTTTAACCATTTTGGGGTCTACAGTTCAATGGCAGTAAGTACATTCACGTTGTTGTGCAATCTGCACCATCAGCCACATTCAGAAGTTTTTCATCTTCCCATAACAAAACCCCAGGCTCGTTAAATGATAACTCCTCACTCCACTCCCCCTAGGCCTGGACAGCTACCATTCTACTTTCTGTCCCTGAATTTGACTACTCTAGGTATAAGTCATATAAGTGGAGTCATACAATATTTGTCCTTGTGTCTGGCACTAAGTATAATGTCCTCAAGGTATAGCATGATGTATTTAATCAAATTGAACTCACCTGTGTAACCAGTGCCCTGATCAAGAAACACAGCGTTACTGGCACCGAAGAAGCCCCTTGTGCCCCACTTCCAGTCAGTACTCACTACCCTTGTATGGTCATGAGAGTCACCACGTACTTCAGTCAATGAGAGGAGGGAGGTATAAGAGGAAAGACCGAGGCTTCTGCCTCTGTCCTTTCCCAATAGAAGAAACTGCACGTTTGATCTGTTTTGTAAATTAGGCTTGGCCTACTTGCCAAGGAAAAGCTTAGAAACTGTTGACTTAGGAAATATTCACATACCATTCCCAGATTATTTGGATAAGTGCCTTGAGTCTGCCCTTATCCTACTAACTCCCATTTTTGTAACTGTTTAGGCAGCATCTCTTGCAGGAAGCCTTCCCTAAGTATTCTTGGTGCCTTTCCACCAAAATGTGATATATCCATGCAACCATGCAGCCTTAGAAAAGAAAGAAATCCTGTCATGTGCTATAATGTAGGTGAACCTACCTCTTGCTTATCGAGGGCATTACGATAAGAGAAATAAGCCAATCCCAGAAGAACATACACTGCATGATTCCACTCATATGAAGTATCTAAGGAGTCAAACTCATAGAATCAAAAAGTAGAATGGTGGTTGCCAGGGGCTGTGGGGAGGGGAAATGGGGAGTTGTTTACTGGATCCAGAGTTTCACTTTTTCAAGATAAAAAAGTTTCTAGGATCTGTTGCACAACGATATGAATATACTTAACACTACTGAACTGTACGCTTTAAAAAAGCTGAGAGGATAACTACGTTATGTGTTACTACCAAAAAAAGTTTTTTTAAAAAAAGTTGACCTTTCTGATTCTGAAGCTGTTCACCATTTCACTTTTCACTCTGGACTCTTGCAAAATGAGGGAAGTTTCACAATATTAACCTGCCCGAAAGAGTTTCTATAAATATATGCTTAGCCAGCTCTTAGTTAAACAGAGTATCACACTGTCATCCTAAGAGTTAGCGTGCATATTTTCTTCTCTTATTTACCCGAATGAAATTATTTAGAAATCTCTTCCTTTTAATGAAATCACATTTTCTGATTTAAATATAAAAGATCTCATAGTCTAATTAGACAAAAAGTATACAATATTATATGATTTATTACAACATTACGTAAAGAAACAAGCCAAGATTTTTTTTCTTTTTAAAGCAAGAGTAAGTTATAATAGGTAAAAATATATTTTTTTCTCATTATGAATGTTTGACTTTTATTCGAATGCCATTCTCCGGTTTGTGAGGATTTACTCTACATTCTTTTAATCTAGGTTGCGCGAAAACCTTGAAACACAAAAGCCAGCAGTGGGTGGAGTGGGAAGACCTCTTTGCTACTCCCCAGATGCCTAGAAGTGGGTTGCTTTCTGATGGTGTCTTTGCATCTAATGAAATGGGCTTCTTTGCATTAGCTATGGAAGGGGCTATGCACGCAGCTAAGGGAAGACCCCAAATCTGCCTTTTCTTTAACTTTGGACTGATAATTAACAGAAAAGACATCAACTCAGATAAACAGGCAAAAATATTGAACAGACTACTCATAACTATACTTAGAGCCACAATAAAAATAAAAGAAATTTACAATTTAAATAATATAATTAGTTATTTGAGCCCTATGAAATCACAAAATATTTAAAAACTTTCGCTAGAATTATGAATGAGTTTTTTGTTTCTATTTGTCAGATTTTAAAAAATACTAAATACACGCTCTTTTAATAACTATGCCACATTATTTGAGAGTATGCTAGAAACAAATGAACACACTTCATTACTCACGTTCAGAAGATACAGAAGAAATGAGAAATGATACAGACTCGCCTGGCTTCTAGGAAATGTGCAAATGCTCTGGTGAAAGACAGGTCCAGGGGAAAGAACAAAAACAGAAACCAAGCAGATGAGGATTCAAGTCTGATTTTCACCACAATCTAAGGGAGGAAAATGACAGTGAACTCTATTACGTGTTGTACGATCATAGCTTTAACCTGGGTGAGCACAAGAGTGGAGCATTCCAGAAAGACGCCTCATCCAGGCTTGGACTTGGGAAATGGGGATTTGAGAAATTTTGCTGGAAGAGGAAGTGCCCAACCTGAATGGACAAAGGTGTTCTGGGCAGAGGGAACAGAAAGTGAAAGTTCCGGAGGTAAGAGGGAGCAGGCAAGTTCAGGGAATTTAAGTCGCCCAGTATGACTGGAGGGGAGAACAAGGCGTGATCTAAGTGGAGCATCTGAGGAGAGAAAGATGGTCACGGACATGTCTACTGTGGTCAGGAGATGGACTTTATCCACAGCTATAGAGAGCCCTTGGAATACGTTACGCAGAGAGAGAACACGATGACATTTAGAGGGAGCACCCTGACAGTGATGAGGAGTGAGGACTGAGGATGGGTGTGCTTAGCAGACGAGAAGCCCATCAGAAGTCAGGGTGCTCCTAGGTGGTCAGTCCTCATGGCCTGTTCAGCAGAAGTGGATACTTGCACTTTGGGGGTGGCTACAAAGGTGTTGGATGGCATCTCTCTCATCTTGAATGAAGTGCCACCACCCGAGCTGGGAAGGAGCAGGTTTGGAGGGGGAGAATATTGGGTCCCATTTGGGATGTGTTGGGTTTCCTGTGTCTCTGGTGGGTTTTGACATAGGATAGATACTCTGGAGCTCTTAAGAGGGCTCTGAGGGAGAATAAAATAGGAAAAGCATGAACTTTAGGCAGCAAGTGAAACTCTGGTAGAGAACAAGATCTCTCAGAATTAGGCCATCAAATGGGGAGCTGGCCTGGGACTGCACTCTTAGGAACAAGGAATGTTTGAGGAGTGAGAAGAGGTGAAGTCAGTGAATGAAGCTGACCAAAAGGAGACCAAAAGCTCAGTCAAGGAGGCAGGAGAACAAAGAGCTAGTGGGATCAAGATGGGCTGGAGGCTTTCGTTTCTTCCCTGTCATCTCTGGAAGACTGGGTTTTCACAAGCCCTAGCAATGGCGGAGGTTGGGGAGGGCGAGGACCGTGGTCCAGAGGCAGGCTGGATGCCGGGTCCCGCTTGGCTTGCTTCAGCACGCCCACCTCTGAAGCCTGGTGCTGCCAATCCAGTGGGAAAGCTGTTCATTGCCCTGTGCCCACCATAGCCTGGCTGTGAGGCTGCCAGGCTTTAATCCCTTATGCTCATACCAGGGCCTGACAGGACACGCCCATTCAAGAAGCCTTGGCTGGTAATACTATTAGTACACATGGTTATGTTTTAGGAGAATGTTTCATAATATTAGGCCTGTATTGTAAACTCCTATTCTATTTGGCTTTAAAGGTAATCACAATGCTTTATATTAAAATTTAATAAATAAGGAAAAATTAAATAAGGAAGTTTACAATCTATTTTTTCTCAAACACTAGAGTTTTTTTTAAAAAGAAATATGTCCATTTAAAAAAGTATCATAGATTTTTTTTAACTGCATTGTTCAGAAGTGAGAAAATCTAATCACCTTTATTTTAACCAAGTGAAGTGACATCTTAACAAAGTTATATTAAAATTCAGGAATTCTGAGCTGAATAATTAAATTTTCTTCTTTTAGTGGTTATATAGCTTCTTTTCTAAATAAGAACTTTGCAGTGAGGCACAGGTACAATCCAACTTCCAAACAACACAGCATAGAATAAAAGAGCTACATTATTTAAAAAAAAAAAAAAGGGACCATAAAATAACTTGAGAACTATTTTCATTATACACATATTGCTTTTATCACAGCATCTCTTATAACAGTCTGACCTACAGAGATGTGTGTGCTATTAAGATAAAATTTAAAAAAGAGAAATGTGAACGATTCAAACCCCTGCAGTGGCAATCAGTGACATATTTAATCTGAGGCAACCTTTCCAGCGGTGTGGTGTGCGAGGTACTGGTGGTTTGGGAAATTCAGCCTCCTCATATCAGTGGACTCTCCAGATTGCTCTGTTGACAAAAGGTAGTTTTTTTTTTTCTTAATGAATTAATAACTAAGACCCTTAGGCAGAACTAGACTCTTACTCATGTAAATAGGAAAGAGAAAAATATAGATGTCAACAGGGGCTACAGTACAGGAGACCGATAAAGCACCAGCCCAAGTGCATAGAACATTCCACTTCTACATTAAAGCTGAACTGATATCAGGTCAAAAACAAAGAAAGACTGGGGGCTTGGCGGGGCGGGATTGTAATGCAGGTGAGTCCGGTCTCCCTGAGGAGATTCCATACTGAGGACAGAGAGTGGTGGGCGGTGCAGCGGAGGGGGCAGGTTTTTTTGAGCAGCCACTATATTCCACACCTCATGTCATCCTGAC